TCATATTAGAAAAACGGAAATGCTCACTTTCATTAGTCTTCCTATGTGTGAACTAATGATACTTTGGCAAATCTTAATATCACAGCTTATCTGAAAGTTCAGATGAAAATGAGGAAAAGTGTTATAATTTTCTGAACGTCTTTGATCCAGTCTCTGGTACACTTGGAGTTACATAGCAGTAAATACCCAGAACTTTACTAACCAATTATTTCTCACTTCTTTTTCCTTGAATGTTTGAGATAAACAAACCTCTCATTTAACCATTTTTACTCCAGCTGGTAACTATTGGTTAAGAATTGATTTGACTATGTTGATATTACTGGGTTTTCTCAGTGGTACCACAGGAACCCAACATCAATAGATCCAGCTTATTCCCCTAAGCCTCGGTCAGCTTTCATGCACAAATGTCAAATGCCGCTTCTTACCGCAGTGACTCGGAGCAGCTAGCAAAGACAGGCATCAGGTGCAATGAACCCAAACAGTGCCATATCTCATCAATTAGTAACAGCTCCCAGGAGCACGATGTTCAGAAAGACCCTAAAGCTCTGTGGGACCTCAGAGGGACAGAGTTCCATGATCGATTAAGAATGTCTGCTATGGGCATATACTGGATTTTGATGACTTGAGTGCCACAGCTTTTGTCATCCAAGGTCTGTGGTGATGAGTGGCAGTACAGGGCTGTGTCAAGACTGCATCTCAGCAGCTACTGCAGAAGAGCACTGAACTTCAGAGAACAAACAGGCTTAGCACATCCTGCATCTTTGCACAGAGGATTCGTATTATCCATTTATACAACACCCTGTATAAATGGCGTTGCAGACCAGAGTGGGTTACTAATAAGTGATTCATAGGAACACTGAATATGTCAACCTCCAGTTAGGTGTCAGCCCATCACAAATAAGAAATGATTACTTAGAAAGCCATACGCTGTGACTTCAAAAGGAACATATACCTAGGCTATTCCTATACAACCCATTTTCATATCTACCTGAAAAATGAAAGCTGAAGCCAAACAGTAGACACTTTATGCTTCACTCAGAGCAAGAAGCAACAGGAAGTAGTGAGAAAACTCCACACTCTCCAACTCATATCAGACCCTAGAAATCTCTTCTATCTCCATTTTTCAAAAGAAACTTGCCAAAGGTAATGAACGTTACAACGTTAACTATAACAAGAAATAGACTGGCACATGTTTTCAAACAAGCTGTGTTAACAGGGACCCAAAACTTATTGATAGATTAAAGTCAAAAGGTTGAATACTCTCCACATCATAAAGCTTTGGCTTTAGTTTATTTCCTAATCTGCCAAACGGCAAAAAGGCACACAGGAGAATAAAGAGAATTAGCTCCAAGCTGCTTACAATGGCTTTCTGCTTCTGCCTCTCCCTCTGCTTGGCCCTTTCAGATTCTCTCTTCTCATACTCTTTATGGTACTCTTCCCTCTTCAGCCTTTCATGCTGATAGGCCTCATAGCTGTCATACCTGGGAAACAAAACTTCATCACTAAGTTGATCACCTCCACTTGCATGAGCAAATGAATCATCATTGGGGGAGACAGAGGAGGAGTTTGAGATAATATTTTGTCATTTAAGGGAGATAAAAGGAGCTGAAGGAAAGGATCATGTCTCGTTACCTGGGCCTACGGCTGTAGGGTGATCTTGAACGTGATCTCACATACAAGGGAGAGTTTCGGTAGGTGCGGTGTCTGTAGTGGCTTGATTCATAGTAGTAACAGGACCTGGGAGAGGGGAGGAAGACCAAAGTGACATTTGAAACCACCTCCCAGCCCAATTTTATTGGGACTTCCAAACATCCATGGGGGCACAGGGCTACATGAACTGTCTTTTCCTTCCTAGCTACTAGTGAGATCTTCCACTGACAGTTTGTGGTCAGCTAGTCAGCTTAGAGGCCAAGGAGTGACAGGTTCTTTCTCCACATCTCTTACTGAGGTTAACTTGGAGCAGTGGGGTGACTCCACTGTTAGGTTTATCTCATGTATATCTCAACAACCTTAGCATGAGGCAGTTCTTTGTGTGATGGGAGATAGGCTTTCTCTGTTCTGACTGTACTCTCCAGAGATGGAGTGCTTGAGAGAACATGGAGAAGGGGGACTGTATAACCCTCTGTGAGTAAGTTAGTTGCACCTGAAGGACAACCGTGACTTCCAGGAACCACTTTAGCACTGGGTGGGTTCTGACAAGGTTTACCTTGAAGAGGATCTACTGCCTGGGGACCTTGATCTTGACCTGGAATATGGTGACCGGGAACATGACCTGTGTCGAGAAAAGGATCTTGAACGAGAGCGCATCCTTTGGGGTCTTTGAGAAAATAAGGATTTGGGTGGTGACACTGAATCTCGACACGGAGAGTTAAAAGAAGAGCAAGAAGGGGACACATCAAACAATGAGTAGGACTGCGTGCCATCCCAAGGGTAGCTCAGTTTATCACTTTCATCTTCGCTGTCGTCAAACAGACCATCCATGGCTAGTCCTGAATTAATAAACACAGGTAGTTTGGAGAATTGTTCATTACTGAAATCACCGCCCCTCAGTTCACTGGTCTTGTCTGCTTCATTGTCAAAAACAGCTTGACTGGGATGACCGAAGTGCTTGTTCAGCTCGGCTCGGATTTCCTGGTCTTGAAGCTGTTTTCTGGTGCTGCAAGGAGAGACCTGCTTGCTGGCCTCCAAAGTCTCTCTCAGGTAGCACTGGTCTGAATCTGTGGAAGAACAAATGTGCCCCTGCCAGTCATTGGAGGCATCTTTGTAGTCTAGTTGTCTAGAGTCTTGGAGCTCCTGTGATATGTTAATGAGTATATCCGTTTTGGAATTGACTGACTGACAGTAGTCATGGTCACCAAACAGCCGAAGGCTGGGCCGCTTAGTCTTCCTTTCCTCGTGTCCCCTGCTGAGCACTGAGGACTTGCTGAGCTGTGCGTACAACTCGGATTGCTCTGGCCCTTTCTTGGTGGAGTGACTGCCTTGGGGACCAGAACACTCACTGTACTGGGCCTTCTTTGACGGCGGTGGCACCACAGTCTTGCAAGAGGACTTCAGCTTCGGAGAAGCCCTGAAAGGGTTATCTTGGTTGGCTTTATGAGGAGGAGTTGTGGGTGGAGTTAGGCCTATGGCAAAAGAAAAAAGAGAGAGAAGGGAGAAAGATACAGAGAGAAAAGAGATAGAAATAATATTTTTAAATGACAAGACATGGTTCCTAGCTTTTCCAAGATTTTAGACAATGGTGAACACTAAGTGAAGAAGAAGGAAACTGAATTCATGGCGTGGCCTGAAAACTGATTCTTCTCCTAAGCCTCTGTCACCCAGTCAAGGCGGGTGGACAACGCCAGGCAGCAGCGAAAGCTGTGTTATTCTATATATCAAACACTGATGCTAACAAATCCTGCTTCCTAGAAAACAGGAATATGTCACTGCTGTGCCTCGGCAGTGGGGATCACCAGCATCACCATTGGCATTTGAAAGAGGAAATGCAAGAGCTGTTTAATGAAAAAGGAACATGGTGGGACATGGGAATCACAGAGCAGCCTTGGTGGCATTTGTCTGCAAAGAATGACACAGAAGATATAAATGGTCCAGGGCTTTTAGGACAATCAAGAAAATCTACCCTTGGAACATTGTTTTTTTTTTTAAAAAAGGATGGAATGACTGCAGATTTTGATCAAGGTGGGAATGACACCCATAGACAACTTTGAAGTAAATTCAGCAAAATAGGATTGCCTAGCTGAACACGGGGAACCACGGCCACTCCACAACTTGACAGCAATGATGCTTTGTCTCCACAGTTCATTAACTTAGTAAACCATGGCTAATGTAGGTATAATACATTCTTGTAAGCATAACTAATACATTCTGTCAAAAATATGGTTCTGCAACAGAAAGCCAAGTGCGAAGTAGCTCTAAATATTGCTGTGCCGGGGGACTATTTTATTTAGAGCACATTGGGACTGAGGGCAATGAGACCAAAGGACTGAAACAAATCCAAGCTTGAGCAATTAATTACACAAGAAACAAATAAAGACGAGGGATGCCTAGGAATTGTTGTCTTTCCTACTTTGCGACCGACAATTCTGAAGCCAGGGTAGGAGTGTGGAGACATAGTGGTTACCTCTAAGTCTCACCCCTGAGTAAACTTAATTCATCTGTTCTAGCCCAGGAAGAATCACTGTGAAAACCAGCATCCGAGGAACTTTGAAGGAGGGCAAGCTGCAGTTCAAATGACTTTATGCTTACAAGGGAACATTTTAGTTTACAATACACTTTCTATTTAGGAGGAAGGGTGAATGCTATTCAGCAAAAAGTGCTTCGAGTCCGTTAACAAGCCTGGGGTGAGACTCACGGCAACTGCACATTTCAAGGGGAAAAAATTCCTACCTAGCTGGAAAAAAATATAAATATGTCAAGAACCAAGTAGGTCACAGAAAGCCACACAGACTTCTGATACGAACAGGATGATGTGGTCTTGTTCTCCTACTTTACAATAAAGATGGGGGAGAAACTGATGTTTTCCCATTGGTGAAATATTTTACACCAATATTTGGCAATTTTTAGTATGCAGAGCTAATTATTCATGAGAGAAGAAAGGGAAGAAAAGAGAAAAAGGAGTTGGCTTTGGAATTCCATCAGAGAAAGGTTTAGAAAGACAGGAACATGTACATACAGGCACGATACGCTTCCTTTGGGCACGCCTGAGTCAGGCAGAAACTTCCCTTGTGTGTGCGTCTACTTTACACTACAACAGAAAGGGAATGTTTCCCTGAATGACTCTTCTGTGCCATGGAGGGGCCTCCACTTTCAGCTCCTCTTTCAGAGTTAAGCATATCTTGCACCAAGTCTAAGACGGTCCTATGTGATCAATTTTCTCCTCTTTTTTTCTTGTTTTCTTTACATTTTGCATCACTATGTTCTTGCATGTCGATTTCTACCACATTCTGCCTTCAATAACCAACATAACACACATAAAAATCCTAATCCCATGAAAAGAGATGCCAGGTTCTCAAATATTCCTCATCAGAGCCAACGATGGTTAAACTAATGATGAGGGCTTGGAGAGGTGGCTTAGTAAGTAAAGTGTCTGATGTATACACACAAGAACCTGAGTTTGGATTCCAAGAACACATATAAAAAGCCAGGTGTAGTGGAATGTGCCTTTAGCCCCAGTGTTGGGGATCAGAGACAGACAGATTCCTGAAGTTTGTTGGCTGACAACCTAGCTAAATCAGTGAGCTTCAGATTCAGTGAGAGCCCTTATTTCAAAACACAAATATGAAGAGTGATTAAAGAAAAACATCTGTTTCTGACCTCTGGATTTCACATGCACTGCATATATATGTACCTACACAAACATGTACATGCCAACCCTAACAAGTACATACACCACACACATACAGCATGATATACACTAAGAAAATTAAGGATGAATAAGCTGTGTAAATGCCAGGAAATGTCAGTCAAATAAACCAAAAACGTGATCCTTGAATTGGAGGGATGTTGTTCGACACCTGAGATCCATCTGCTTTTTATACTGACCTGTCCAGTGTATGGTCACTTTCAGTTTTCTAACGACTTTGTGTTTCACTTTGTGTGTATTGCACGTCTCTGTATCTCCTTACTTCTTTTGAGTGAAAACCATGTCTTGTTTCTCTAAAGCAACACAAGCTCTTTGTAGAATGTTACCTACACTTATGTGTCCCAAGGTTATTTTCTTCATTTTCATTTTTCTAGCTTCTCCATTTGTCCTGGGTCTCACATTTCAGTGGCCTAAGATCCACTTAGGAAGCTGGTTAAACCTATTTAATGAGATGGTTCCCAGACCACATACAGAGAACCAAGACCTTTGAGCATCTGTGTAGCACATGGCCTTGTACTCCAAATGTCTATGTTTTGACTGACATTCCAGATTTATAAAAAGAAACCCTCAACTTCAGAAATGCCAAATTAGGCCACTATTAAAGAGAGACTAGCTCTAAAAATAGCTTGACTATCTAGGTATTTTTAAATATAGAAATTATTTTAGTCTTGAAAATTTGAAATCCTTGTCCCAATATCTAAGCTCATTATTGCTTAAATAACTGGTTCTCCAATTGCTCCTGGGAGTGGCAACTGGTTGATTGTACTTCTTTTGAATTAAAAGCACAGCTTTTATGTCCTTCACATAGGGGAACCTCTTGCCACTGAACCAACAGCCACAGAGCACCTACTGCATGCTAGATGCCACATCAGATGCTCGCACTTCAAAGATTCCACCACAAGGATTTCATGGCTCCTTTTAATAAAGCAGTAATTCCAATTTTAAAGTAATTTTTTTTTGCAGATATGTTAACAGTATATGAAATGCTTTAGAGGCACCAAATGTGTTTTGTGAATGAAAATGTCTGGGCTGTAATTTCTGTGGACATCAAGTCCTAAATCAAGTCATACTTGCTCATTGGATAGAAGATATTTCAACATTAGTGCGCAGGTAGGTAGAGGAAAACAATTCAGACAATTTTCTATTTTTTTTCTTTCTCTTTACCAAAATGCCTTTAATCAGAGAATATCTCCTCACAAGACTGAGAAATCTCATGGATGACAGACTTTGTATCACCCAGTGCTTAATTGAAAATCTATTTCCTAATAGAGTTGAGACCCAAGGCAAAATAAAGCAAAAGAAGAGCGCAGAGAGCTTTTTTCATTTCCTTTAGTGTTGTGTCAAACTTCTAAGCACTGAGATGGGACAGGCCACCCATCTCACCCCTGAATTTGCTGTATTTCTCTAACCTGGTCTCCTCTGCCCACGGTGTCTTCCCCTGCGCTGGGAGGGAAGTCAGTGCTCGATTCCTTAATGCTCAGTTCCTTTGCTCATCTTCCCACTAATCGCTGGACTCTCAATTTCATGCCACAAGCCTAAATCAACAGAGCGAATGCTTCCTATAACCTCTGGGTTCTTTCCTGCGTGTTGATTTTTCTGGGGAATGTGTACATTTTGGTGTTGACAGTACAAGGTATATTCCGTGCTCTCTCTTGAACTTAGCAGGTTTTGACAGATTTATGTGAGGACAGATGGCCATTACAGGCTGAAGGCTGACAAGAGGCAGTTCAGAGCATTGTTAACACACTTGCACAAACTCTCAGCAGTGGAGCTCTGTGCAGAATGTAATTCAGACTATAGCTTTTTTATTGCTGCCTATTTTCTTTTGTCAAAAGAGCCTGCTGTGCAGAGCAACAAATGGCTGCTATTACCCAGAATGTAATGGGTGTCAGACAAATCACGTAACACAAACAATCAAGAGTATGTAGGTCATATTTCAACAGAGCACAACCTTAGCAATATTTATGATTACTGCATTGAAATGTGCTCTATAATAAACAAGTACCTCTACATCACTCACGCCCGGCCGGGAGAAGTGGCATACACTCCACAAGTCATCTTTTTAAACACCCCTTTTATTTAAAAAAAAAAAAAAAAAAAAAGTCAGGGGCAAGTTTGGTTTGGTTTGGTTTTCATTATGTGTGATACAGCGGTTTTCTTTGAGCAGCTTTCTTTGGAGATTAATTGAATGACTGATAAATGGAGAAACCTCTGCTCTGTTGCTTAAGCCCTAGTACCCAGCCAACAACTTCTGCAGGACGTTTTTCATGCTTCCTTTTCTATACAGTTTGTAACATGGCTCAGAATCTCTGGCTAACTTTGTGGCTTACTGCTGAGTTCATTTAACAGTGGGATTTTGCTTGCGGTGGGTGCCAAATCAGGCTTGTAAGGAAAAACAATGAGGTGTTTCTATCTAGGTTAGAAGTTCACCAGCATAGGAAGACTGGGCAAAAAGAGGTGGTCATTGTGTTTCCCATGTATCTTGGGGCTTCAGAGTGCACGGAGCCCATCAACAGAGCAGAGAGAAGGCTGACATTCCAGCACATCAGCTGCAGCTACACCAGCTGCCGAAGTCTTTGGCTGGTTCAGGTTCTTCTGGAATCTTCCATCCCTTATATCTTCCCAAGACTTCCCAGTGCTTCACAAGATTCATCCACTATACTGTTAACATTCACAACAATGAGGCCTCCCAGGTGCCACCCCATTATTCTAGCTGGAACCAGTCCACACTGACTGGGCATGCCCTGCCTGGTTGTATGA